TTATTATTTCATCCAATAGGTTTGTTTTAAAAAAAGTCTTAAAGGACTATATTTATATATATTATAAAAAAAGGTTTTTTTTACAATGCAGTTACACTTTTAAATAACATACAATAAATTTACTGAACAGGCAAATTATGGATTTGGATATTGACCACAGATATATTATTTTCACGTTAAATAACGCTTTTTAAAAAACCTGTACAGTAGCAACACTACAAATTGTGATCTTGGATTTGTACCCCGCCCCTCGCACTGTGACTGCTGGATATGGGCACCAGTGACCCACGCAACCCTGAAAAGGAAGAAGCGTGTACAGAAAATGGATGGATGGATGGATGGATGGATGGAATTTGCCATTGAGAGGTCCCAGCGCAGACTTTAAAGGTTGACAAATCAACAGTGTCGGCGTGTACCAGAACAACTGTGATTATCTGAAATGGCTTTCATGTGTACGCCTTAAACGCTGGATATCTCAAACTCTCCTGGATGTTTTACAGATGCTCTGTCCCCACCACGTGAACTTTCAAGTTGACCTGATGAACACTAGAACTTTTCAGAAACTTTGGCTGGGTGGGTCTGTTTTCAGTATTATTTCACAGATTCATACACACGCACAAACATTTCCCACAGCTTCAGATACACACCCCTCAAATCACAGTCTTTGCAGACTTGTGCCCTATGCAGATGTTTGTTTGTTTTTTTGCAAACTCATATTGTGTCCTTGTTACAGACACAGCACGAGATTTTGTTTCCCCTCATCTTTGCTATTTCTTTTTTCTACAGTAAGGGTAGCGCTGCAGGACTGGGGGCACCTGTTCTCACATGTATGTGATTCTGGTTTTTGTTACTCTTTTGAATGGGTTGTTCCAAACTGTAATTTATTTTTGGGATCAATAAAGTATTTTGAATTGAATTGTCTTTGTAGTGTATTCAATTTAATATAGGTTGAAAAGATTTTCCAAATTACTGTATTCTGGTTTTATTTATGTTTTACACAACATCGCAACTTCAATGGAATTGGGGTTGTATGACAAAAACCATCAATGGATCATCTGTTAAATGTCCAGCTTGGTCTGTTTGGGCCTACCGAGCTGCTTGGTGACGATGTGTCTTCCAGCATGTGAGCGCTGATGCTGTCGCAGGCCCTGGCGGTAAATGAAGCTCTTTCCACATTTTCCRCACTGAAAGGGTCTCTCTCCAGTGTGATGCCTGTTGTGGTCTCTCAGCTCCTCAGCTCTGGAGTAGCTTTTTCCACAGACATGACAGATAAAAGGTCTGGACTTAATGTGGGTTCGGTAATGTGCGTTTAGATAAGAGTTAGCCTGAAATGCCTTGCCACAAATGGAACATGCAAATGGCCTCTCTCCAGAGTGCTGCGTCTCATGGAGTTTGAGGGTGGAAGCTGTGAGGAAACCTTTTCCACACTGGGAGCAGAGGAAGGGTTTCTCCCCYGTATGGATGCGCTGATGGATTTGTATGTAACTCTCATTGATGAACCTCTTGCCRCAGTCAGGGCATGAATAGCGCTTCTCCTTGACATGGGTTTTCATGTGTTCCTCCATTTTTTCACTATCATCAAAGTGAACCCTGCACCGGCGACAGAAGAAAAACTGTGACGAGGTTTGCTCGACTGACTCAGGGACCGTCTCGCTGCTGTGTGTAGTGATGTGGTGCGCTTGTAAAGCTGACTGGCTCCCACAGTCCTTTCCACATTCCATGCAGCAGGTGGACAACTGGACCCTGGGTTCTTCTGACAAAGACTTCAAGTTTCCAGTGAGTTCTGGGGCAGTGAAATGCATTTCGTTGAAGTCAGCAATAACTTTTTGACCTAAAGAGAAAAAACAAAGGATTTAACATCCGCTCAGAGGAAATCAAAGAATAAAGTAATGTAGGTTTACCTGTAGGGCAGAAACCTCTTTGTTGCTAGTTCATTGCCMTGTTACTGATTTTCTGAAGATACATGTGCGTGTAGGAAAATACTGTGTATGGCTGGATTACTGAAATACAGACWATCGAACTAAAAATAAAAACTATACTGGATTTTGAGGTCAAGGTTGATCGAGAATGTCAAACTTCTAGTTAATTTCTTTGACTTGGAACCCAGAAATTCCATCTTCTGGGTAAAAATGTAAAATGCCATTAACCTTGAGTGTGCAATAAAAAGTAAACGCAACACAGCAGGTTTTGAGTCTTTTACCATGATGATGCAGTAGACTGAGTTTCATTTATCTCTCGTGGAAAGAAAAACACATACTTATTCAATTTTCAAATAACATGCTTTTGGAATACCCCTCATGTCTTTACAATGAAAAGAAAAACACTATTCAATGTATTACCTCCTATTATCTTTAAAAAAAGACACAAAGGTAAGTTTGGTTTATCTTCTGCACAATTTGTACAATGTATCGCCAAGCACAACTTTTGTATTTTTTACATTAATCACGAGACAATAAACTAACAATAAAGAAAGTTTACCATCCTGTGATGCAGGTAAACAAAGATTCAACTAAAACCTTCAGTAACACTACTGTACGCCATGCAGCTGTGGACCATTGTTGACAACGCTTACCAAGGTGGACTTTGTAGTGTGTTTTTAGATTTCCCTTCTGAGTAAAACCCCGACCGCACATGGCGCARCAGTATGGTTTCTCCCCCGTGTGAGTCAGCTTGTGTCGATCTAATCCGTAAGCATGAGGAAATTTTTTCCCACAAACTGAGCAGCGATACTCAATCTTCTCCTTAGGCATTTTCAGGAACTCAGGAGGTATTTCCATTGGTACACGAGCCTTCCTTCCGATACGGCGCCTCTCTCCTAAAAATAGGAGCAAAATATAGAGATTTGAATTGAATAAAAGCTAGTCATCTGCAAACTAGATTCAATACCAAACTGTTACTTTGTTGGCTGAAATAAGTCAACCTTGTAATTCCTGATTTATTTTACGTTTCAAAACAACTGCTTCAGCTGCATTCACACAAAATCTGCAAAGGGGTATCTTCTGTATATTTGTCTTGAGGTGCTGTTATTTACAATAATCATGTGGTTCCCATGCAATAAAACTCAACCACTTTGTAAATCAAATATAAAATGAATTTTCTTCTTAGTTAAATGTTTGTCTTCAGGTCTGTTGTAGTTTTGTCAGCTGCTGCGACTCCTGTTGCCTTTCTGATTCCAGTCAGTTGCTAAGTTTCTGCAGTCAAAATGTGGCCTAAATAGTCAATAATAAGACACAAAGCCAATTTGATTTAAGGAAAACCATTGACCACTTTGCTTTGAGAGTTTAATTAAAATCTGTCCACTGGTTCAAGTGAAATTTTGCAAACACAACAGATTATTGAATGCACAAACAAAATACAACATTATTTTTGTGGCAGATAATTGTAATAATATTAATAAAAATAAGATCCAAACGTTTAGTACATACCTATTCTTATTGAATAAACTGACTAAAAATGTAAATGCATTTTATATATCAATGCATGTTCCTAAACAATGATTGTGGTCTGCGTTTGATCCATCACACAAGAGAAACACCCAAGTGGAGCAGTGGGCAGCTATTTAACCCACCGGTTGGGGATTAGGTGTCTTGCTCAAGGACACCATGACATGTGGGCATGGGAAGGAGTCAAACTTGTGACTTTTTGGTCCTAAGTCAGCTGCCCTACCGCTCCTCTACAACCACCCCCACAAAACATATATAATAATAAATATAGTAAAATAGACTATCAAGAGAATTTTACTGAAAATTCTAATTGTCCACAGACATTTAAGAGCAAGACATAAAGGGTGTTGGAAGAATAAATCATATATTTATTAATTAGAAAAGGATCAAGACCTCCAGTAGCAACCAGCTCTAATAACAGAAAATTATGTTTTTTCAAAAATACACAATGAAACACAGCTTCTTACCTCTGTGAACATTCATGTGTGTTTTGAGTCTTCCACTCTGGAAGAATCCTTTTCCACATATGATGCACTTGAAGGGTCTTTCCCCTGAATGAATCAAAAGATGTCGCTTCAGAGAGTTTTGGCGGGAGAAAACTTTCCCACAGTTTGAACAGACAAACGTCTCCTTTGTTTCTCCTTGAAGAACACAAAGAAGAAGAAAAAGAACAGTGTTTGGGTGCTTATGCCATTGTTTGAGAAAATAAAAAAAGATTATCCTACTGCATATATGGTATTGTAGTATATTACTTGTTGTGAACCAGACAATAAGGCAAAAACACAGAAAACCCAAGAAAGTGTGCWTAACAATTCCTCCCACCCCCTAAATCAATACCTTGTTTCGCCGCCCTTTGCTGCAGTCAGAGAATCAATCTCTTCAGATTCATCTTCATGACCGTGGAACATGAAGCCACAGAAATTTTTTGACCATTTTTTTCCTAAACTTCTTCAATCTGGATGGTTACTGATCCTGTGCAGCAATTTTAGTTATGTCATACATGACAATCTCAACAGGATTTAGGTGACCGGGCCATTCCAGGATATTTAATCATTTCTCCCAAAACCAGCAGACTGTGAAGGTGAGCCTCCTTCTTAGTCTTAAATATCAGGAACTCAAACAGGTTTCTATCAGGAATTTATCTGTATTTTGCTCCAGCCATCTTTTCTTGAAAATAATCTCCACAGGATGATGCTGCCACCACCATGCTAAACTGTAGGGAAGGTGTTTTCAGCACGAAGAGTGTGCACCGCACCACTTTTCAGCTTTATATTTATTGTTTTTAATTATTTTAAACATTTTCTACATTTAACTTCATTAATACGAAGAACTATGTGTAGTTATATTACTTATAAACAAAACAAAAATATGTTATATATACAAGTTGTAAGGCTAAATGAATAAGTAATAAATAAATGAACATTTTATCACAAGAGGTGAATGCTTCTGCAACAGACTGTATCCATTAATGCAAGTCTAACTCACTGGTGAGTGTTGAGTTGTGATTTTTCTCTGTTTCAAGTTTGTCTTTTTCAGTAGTATTCATCTCTGTCTCTTCTTTGTTTGGATTTATTTTTGTTGATGCGGGGTCGTCATCTTCATCCTGAAAACCAATCAGATCATAGAAAATAAACAAAAACAAATATGTCATTTCTCTCAAAACATCTGGGGCCTCATATACAAACATTACATGGATTTCTTACTGAAATGTGGCGTACGGTCAAATCAAGAAAACGGCATGCACACTGTTTGATATATGTGGATTAATTTGTGCGTGCGCCATTTTCTTGATTTGACCATTGGAATCCATGCACATTTCTTTTATACATCACAATCAGCATGGAGCTGAGCGAACGTGAGACTCCTCCTCTGACACTTTAGTTAAATAGGTGCAAGTTATGTCCACCAAGTGTGAGACAGATTTGCAGGATCTCTGCGTGATCAGAAATGATTTCTAAATTCAGGAAAAAAAATTAATTACAAATATAATGTGAGTGAGAAACATTCCTAAGATGTAGGAGAGTAAAAATGAGTTTGTCAAGTGCAAAGAATGAGTGATTGTGTGTCTGTGTGTGTGCGTGAAGCTGCGGTCATTTATCTGTGTTACTGGATTGGACATCACGTGACTTATCGTGTGCCGCACATGTCTGAGTTTTGGCTCATGAACATCCGTGGATGGTTGTCAAATGAAATGCAGCAGACAGTCATGCAAGGAAAGCCTTAATCCTTCATGGCATAGATTCAACAAGGTACTGGAAACATTCCTCAGAGAGTTTGATCCATATTGACAAGATAGCATCATGCAGTTGCTGCAGATTTGTTGGCTGCATATCCATGATGAAAATTTCTCGTTCCACCACATCCCAAAGGTGCTCTTTTGGATTGAGATCTGGTGACTGTGGAGGCCATTCGAGTTCAGTGAACTCATTGTTGTGTTTAAGAAATCAGTCTGAGATGATTCACTCTTTATGACATGGAGCGTTATCCTGCTGGAAGTATCCATCAGAAGATGGTACACTGTGGTCATAAAGGGATGGACATGGTCAGCAACAATACTCGCTGTGGTGTTGACGGCTGGGGTGTTGACACGATGCTCAATTGGTACTAATGGGTCCAAAGTGTGCCAGGAAAATATCCCCCACACCATTGTACCACCACCACCAGCCTGAACTGTTGATACAAGACAGGATGGATCCATGCTTTCATGTTGTTGAHGCCAAATTCTGACCCTACCATCTGAATGTTGCAGCAGAAATCAAGACTCATCGGACCAGGCAACGTTTTTCCAATCTTTTACTGTCCAATTTTGGTGAGCCTGGTGTGGTCTTCTGCTGCTGTAGCCCATCCACCTCAAGTTTCGACGTGTTGTGTTCAGAGATGCTCTTCTGCAGACCTTGGTTGTAACGAGTGGTTATTTGAGTTACTGTTGCTGTTCTATCAGCTCAAACCAGTCTGGCCATTCTCCTCTGACCTCTGGCATCAACAAGGCATTTCCGCCCACAGGACTGCCGCTCACTGGATATTTTCTCTTTTTTGGACCATTCTCTGTAAACCCTAGAGGTGGTTGTGGGAGAAAATCCCAGTAAATCATCTGGCACCAACAACCATGCCACGTTCAAAGGCACTCAAAYCACCTTTCTTCCCCATACTGATGCTCAGTTTGAACTGCAGCAGATCATCTTGGCCATGTCTACATGTCTAAATGCATTGAGTTGCTGCTATGTGATTGGCTGATTCAACATTTGCGTCAATGAGCAGTTGGGCAGGTGTACCTAATAAAGTGTACGGTGAATGTATATTACTAATACCGATGTTCTGTCCAGTCAGCACGTTATGTCCCATAGTTTATGATTATATCAGAGTAAAAAAACTCCATAACTTTCTTTCCTCCTACGTACACCTCATAAAATTCCTAAGCATTGGAGGGGCCGACCTTTAGGTGGCAGAAAGGGGCTTGTACAGTAAATGCCTTAGCAACAACCTATAATGAAAAGTTCCTAGACTGCTTATAGATTTGTCTCTTGGGCAAATACATATTTTTACATATCACAACTTAGTAAATTTTCTCAACTTTAATTTAAGACATATTTTAGAAATCAGGTAAGAAATAAAGGCATTGCAAATATTTTTGTGACAGATTGATGCACATCTAGCCTGGCCCTTGCCTTCCTACGCCGTTCCGCTCAATTCTAGTTTCCCTTCACTGTTCCGTCTGGGATTTCTCCCACAGAAAGGATTTCTTTGGGAGAATTTTCGTCTGGGCCAATCAGAACAGAATGTCGATTTTCTGCACAGTGTCTGCTAGTAGTTTATTTTAGTTTTTTGTTTTGTTTTGTTTCAGTTTTTATTCATTTCATTAAAACTAAACAAATAATTTTTTATACAATATACAATAAAAAGAAAAATATAAAAAGAAAAATGAGAAATAATATATGTATATACTGTATGAGTATATCAAAATCACAAATAAAATGAAACGAAAGGCAGCAGAGAGAAGAAAAAAATCTTATATCTGCCCCTTTTTTCTAGAATAAGTTCATATAATTAAAAAAATCTATGTTATTAACAAAACAAAAGACAAGAACATCTAATCCCTCTAGAACAACAACATTTTACCTGGGCCAATCGGCAAACAGAAGGCGGAGTTTTGAACGACGTTGATTTTCTATGCAGTGTCTGTTAGTTTAGCAATGGCAGTAGAGGAAGTGAATGAAGCCAGTCTGTGTTGATAAGGCTTCCAAATTAAATAAAATTTGTCTGACAAAGCAGCAGCTCTCATTTACAGTCGTCTCGTTTGGCTCGGTACTTTTCTCCTCTCAGTAGGGTTGTTTACAGCAGGGGTTCTTAAACTTTTTGACCTCGGGGCCCAGTTTGTTTAACATAAGGTGACACGAGGCCTAGTCACACATTACCAAATGGATCAAAATGATAATTATTTTAAATCTTGGTTTAATTTGTATTGTATT